GCCACACCAGCCATTATTTCAATCCTGTTTGCCATTTTAAATAGTACAATTTAATTTTAAGAACTGGCTCCTATGCTTGCTTCATCTCACTTCATCTCCCATTCCAATCTTTTCTGTAACATTGCACAATCCAAGAGGCAGAAAATGTTTTGTTTTACTGATTATATGCAAAGTATTTCGGAAGACTTCGGGGAAAAGAAGGAGGTAAACAATATTTTATTTATAATTAGTAAATAAAGGAAAAGAAATATGCTGTTTCAACTTGCCACATGTAAATATTTCAAAGGTTTTCCCAATAACTCAAAGCTGTTTAGCCAACATTTATATTTTCATATATTTTACTTACCTCCATTCTCATAATAATTTTGTTGTTTCTGGGTGTTATATTTACTTGATGTTGAAACCGTAGATCTCGTGCTTGAAGACTTAGTTCCTGATATAGTTCTGTTTTCTTTCTTTCTGCCCAAAAAAGATTTTTAGAGTAATATGAAATGAAAACATAAACCATCTGGACAATCAGATTATTTCTCAAAGTTACCACTTCAACACACACAATAAATATCTGAAATTTAATAGAAAGTATCAGCAACTGCTGATAAACTGTCAACAACTACTGATGTTGCAATATCTATTTAAAAACTCCATCATGTCTGTAAAATTTCACTTTTTTGTTGAATTCATAAGTAAAAAAAAAAAAATTCTACATACCATAGGAGGTAGAATTGCCTTCTTTGTCAAACTTTATCTAAAAGGAAGTAAATGAAAAATGGTTAAACAAGACAATAGCACATTCTGAAATTAAGTGAAAATTGTCCTATTTAATATGAGTAGTATTTCCAGAAACATCAAATATAATTAAGACAGATTTCTATTGAATTTTATATATTCAGAAATAAGACAGTAACCATAAGATGAATAACACATTTTCACATAATGTACTTTTTATACACATGACTCAAGATGGGTGGGGTTTTGAAAAATACACTGTTTTCTGCTATTGATTAGAATGGCAGATGTGGACATTATTTTATAAACGAAGAATACCCAACAGAAACTAACAGCATAATAGTTAATAGTATAATGAGAATAAAGAAAATAGAACAGTTGTGTAAAAGTTTTATCTCAATGCAATCCTAAAACGATAGACCTTGAGATGTCTCTGAAAGGATTGGATTTCAGCTCCCATAATCCCTAGCTAGCACAGATTATCTGGAATGGCACAAGACTGGGGAAGGCTGCCCAAAAAAGTATGTTTAGATCTGTCTCTCAATTCATTTATTGACAATTGATACATCCATGTTTCCTTTCATGTATTCTTTTGCACCCTGTCTGGAGTCCAATGTTGTGAGTGAACATTGCATTATTTAGGAATTCTAAACACGTGCATTCATCTGTTACTTCCCATCTCTATACCTGCAGCATTTTTCTCCTCCTTGTAGCATGAGTCACCCTTCATCTATGCCTTATACGTCATGACCTTGTGGAGAAATACTTACCACGGAAAAGATCGGTGCCACGCTGGCTAGAGTAGCCTGAGTCACCTCTGTACTGCAGTGCCGAGAAAGATCATCTAAAGCGAATAGGGAGAAATAGAGGAGAAAGGCTATAAACAAAGAGTTGCTAATATGAAGAATCAGCAGGAATGTTGTTCAGTAATAAATACCATATTGAAAAAAGATGCCATAGAATAAAAGGTAAAGTTTTCTTTCAGCTCAGTTCCTGGTTGCATTACAGACACAAACTACACAGCTTTACTGGCAACAATACAGAAGTGGTAGACATTGTCTTCTGAGATGTTTTTCAACTTTTCAGTTTAGCCTACAGTCCTGGAGATCTCCCATCCAAGTACTAACTAGCTGTACCCTATTTAGCTCCCAAACCCAGACAAGATCATCCAGGCTATGTCACAGAATACAGCTAATCTATTTTTGGCACAATTAGCAATTGTGTAATATTAGCATCCTTAGTTGACAAGTCTACCACTGATCAAAATTTTCACAGGTCTTGATGACAGATTAGATTAGGTTGCTCTCAGAAAATAAAGCAGTTTGGTGATTTCTAATGAATGCCTCAAGGGGACACCACAGGACAAGAAGTATTTCCACACACAAATGCCTCCTCCTCTTCAAGGTAAGTATCTTCCAAACTGCCTCAACCTGTCCTGTGATTTGTTGAGACAAGATAAGAAAATGAACTCCATACACCACAGCGAATTTGCAAAGCTTGTGTTTAAGCTAGAGGAATTATTTGAGAAATCGTAACAATTTATATGCAGACGTATATAATTTTTATTGAGCAGGGATGATGGGCCTTTCTGCACTATAAAGCTGAAGTGCTCTCCACTCATCTCAAATTTCAACTGGCATGAAATTTGTTGTCTACATTGCCAATCCCAATCTTGCCTCTACTGCCCTGTTCTAATCACTGCAGTCCCTTACTTCTCTCCAAGGCAATGTCTGGTAAATCCTACCAGATTTTACATACCTTGAGGTTTTCCTCTGATGGTGCTGAAACAAGGTGTGTATGTGTATGTGGTGGTGGGGTGGGGGAAGACACTATTTTAACACCAACACAACTAATGATGACTTAAGCCTGTTCACTCTTTGGATGGAGATGAGGTGATGGGGACAGAGCAAAAAAAAAAAAAAGGCATGTTTGTGCTGGGGCTAGGTATAAGTGGGACAAGGCCCTTTTTCACTTGCATTTTCTGTATAGCATCTGTCATTTTGATGTAAAGCATTCTGAAGAACTGGGATAATGCAGTATTTAGCCTGTGATGAAAATTCTAAGTTCAAAATCACATCTCAGTAGAAGGTGGGAAGAGAGGAATGGTATTTTGTGTGCCATTCCCTATCCTGACCTTGATATATTCATTTTAAGGTCAAAATAAAATCTCTATCTGGCTGCATGCAAAACTCTCTGAACCTAACTGGAATTCTTGAAAGCACATATAGAGTTATATAGTATCCCATAGTATCTGCCCAGCTGGTTTGATCTGGCAGGGTTGGTGTGCTCTTGGTTCCATTGATTAAACAATGCCATCTGTCTGGACTCTGGAAAAGTGCCTTCTTTGTAGCAGCACTCGTCCTCTGGAATCGCTCCCACCCTACTGGTTTTTCAAAGAGCCCTAAGAATCTGGCTCTTCGTCTAGGCCTTTGGCAAGGCCATCTGACACCCCTTTGTTTCTTTTTGTTCCCCTCTGGGTTTGTTTTCTTTGCCATCTTTTTTTTTTTTTGGTCTTGTGCTGTTTTTTTGTATTGTTTTATTTTGAAATGTT